TAGCTTCAACATCCTGGTCGCTTTGGTTGCCTCATGGTTCAGGCAGAAGTACTGGAACAGATGCAGGTCTTGGCATCACGGACTCTGGTAAAAGTCTAGTCACCGGAAGTGGAATAGTGCTCTCATGATCTCACCGCTTTCTCTTCTGAAGCTTTTCTGCCAAATATGGGTCTGCTTCCAGACTAGCGTGCGGTGTGGTGTGTACGCACGGCCCATCTCAGTCCTTGCTTGTGCTGGGTGATTGACATCTGAGTTAGTGGCAAGAAATTGAAAATCGATCTTTGGTCTGCGTGCCCTGATCCATTGGCGCAAGGCAAGAACGAAAACTCTCGTGTAGGAAAGTCAAGTGCAGTGCTCAGTGCTGTTTTGGGCTTGTGCCATTGCTACAGAGCATCGGGAGGATCTTGTGCTGAGAGCTTGCTTATGTTGCTGGCAGCAAAGGGATATGTCTGTTCAAACAGTTTTTGAATCGAGCTTCGAGTAAAGCTGGACAGTGGGTATCACAAATGGAGCCCGGAGCTGCCGACCGCTGCTGTGGGGGTGATGATTTATCCACCATCAAGATCCACCATCAAGACTCCGTTCGAGGTTAAGGGGGACTTTCCTTCAACACAGTGAGAGTTACATGGTCGAAAACAAATTTGCTAGCCTTGATAGGCCATACAAACGTATCGTATCTGATGATGAGGTAGGTTGCGCGGCGGTAGCCCTAGCCGTTGCTAAGTTACGGTCTATCTAGCTACTTGGTCGAAGGATCGCAGGATTCGAGAATCACACAAGCCACTGGATGTAAACATGATCAATACGAGGCCTCCCAAACATCCGAGTTGACAAAGAATGCGCAAAGCTTAGCATGGGTTGTCTATCATTGCCAAATGACGCCATCCGCAGCACACGTGGTGTGCGAATTCGCATGAGCCAGTGGAACCCCTGCCAACCCCTCCAGGAACACACTTCGCAACCTTAATTTGTAGTGTCAACCACAAGGCTGTCAACTTAATCTCGCCCATCCATGCCAACTGACCATATTCTTCTAAAATCAATTCGCAACCATCAGATAGTGACACCACCTTGTCCACGGTCACCCCGATTATGTAAGGGTCATGGCAGGGTGACATTGGCTGCCTCTTTCCAATCCAGATTCGGCCATCTCCGAGCACACTGCAGGTGTGCTGCAGTCAGCTCGACCTTCCTTCTTCCATCGGTCGCCTTTCTGACTTCTTGGAAATCCTTCCTTGCCACTGCCCAGCGCTCCTGCTTAGCTTGCTGAAATTTTTCTTTTTTTCTTACACTTACTTTCATATCCTCATCATAGGTGGTTCGCATCTGAGTTTGCCTCCATCGTGCTCCGCCCATCAGCAAGCTAAAGAGGAACGCATGTTCCTGGTTGGCTATCTGGGGCCTTATCGCGAACACCGGCCGCGCTATCACGCCATAGCACCCCAATCAACCCGCCCTCCACTAGTGCTGCGTCTAGAACATCTTGATTGTTTAAAACCCTGCAGCCTCCGCGGAAATACGAGTCCCTCATACTTCGTTGCTGAATCGCGCACTTCGACAACAACTCCTCCAACTCTTTCGCGATGATCCACGACGAGAAGAAGGAGCCGGTGCAGCAGCCCGCCGATGTCGACGAGTTCGATTCCGATGGATACAGTTCGGCGGAGATCTTGAATGCGCTCAAGAATGAGGGTAGGCTAAGATGGCTGTCCTAAATGGCGATGATGATGGCTAATCTTCTGTTGGGCGCATTCCACAGACAACCAACATGAGATCCAGCTCCGGACTATGTCGTGGCAGAAGGGAGCGTGGCTGCTGTGCGGAGAGCAGGTGTGTCTGGCTATCATGTCGCAGTCCTGGTCGCTCTCGTGAGTTAAGCCGATCCGTGGTTGTGTGTTATGGGTACTGATGGCTGTTGGGTTTCCAGAGTTCTAGGGTGGGTGCCAGGGATTATCACCATGTTACTTTCCGGGATCCTGTTCTGGATCACTTCCACGACCATGCACAAGTTCATCATGAAACATCCGCAGATCCGAAATATTTGTAAGGGGCTCTGGTGGATGGTTCTTGCGACTCGAGATCGAGGCTAACGATTGCATGGGCAGGCGACTTCGGGTATTATGCATTCGGCAAGAGTCGGATCGCCTACGCATTTGCCGGGTTCATGCTGATGGCGAACAACATCCTCCTGATCGGCTTCCACATCTTGACCGGGGCGAAGATTCTCAACACCTTGTCGGACCACTCCCTCTGCACGGTGGTGTTCTCGGTAATCTGCACGATCATGGGCGTGGTGCTCTCCGTTCCTCGGACGCTGCACCATGTCTCTTTCATGTCCATGTTCTCGTGTGAGTTCTCGGGTGGAAAGCATTAGACCCCACGTGCGCGTAATGGTGCTAACCTACCTCTGTAGCGGCCTGTATGGCCATTGCCATACTTCTGTTCCTTATCTTTGCGGGGATTGAGACAGCGCCACTGTATGGGTACAACGGGAACTACCCCACCGACGGACCCGTGCGCACCTACGCCTTTCCCCTTCCCGGCACGACCTGGGTCAACTGCATGAACGCAGTCCTCAACATCACCTTCCTCTGGGTGCCCCAGATCCTCTTCCCGAGCTTTATCGCCGAGATGGAGCGTCCGCAGGACTTTCCCAAGGCCCTCGCCGTCCTTACTGGAATTTCTGTTATCCTGTTCATCGTCCCCCCGGCCATCGGATTCCGCTACCTGGGTCAGTACTCCACCGCACCGGCGTTCGGCAGCCTTGGGACGGTCGCGTACAAGAAGGCCTCCTTTGGCTTCGTCATCGCGCCCACTCTCATCATCGCCGTCATCTACGCCAACGTCAGCGCCAAATTCGTGTTTGGACATCTGATGGGTCGGTCGCGCCACGCGCACAGCAACACGGTCATCGGCTGGGGGGTGTGGCTGGGCCTGATGGCGGCGATCTGGATTCTGGGCTTCATTTTCTCGGAGGTCATCCCCAGCATGGGCGACTTCCTGTCTCTGCTGGGTGCGGCGTTTGACTCGTTCTTCGGATTCATCTTCTTTGCCGTGGCGTACTGGCAACTATACAGGGGTAAGCTGTTCGCCGGCGCTGGACGCAGCATCATGACGGCGATCCATGTGTTTATCATGGCGTGTGGGTTGTTTCTGTTGGGCCCAGGGCTGTATGCGGCCGTCGAGGCGATCATTGCGGATTATGCCGGGTCGGTTTCGCCGGCGTTCAGCTGCGCGAATCTGGCCTTGTGATGTGTGATGATTACGTTTTTCTTTGCTTCTTTGTGAATATGATGAACAGGAACATTAATCTATAAATCTGGTGGTTCAAGCATCACATTCTACTGAGTAGATATAGGTCTAGTTGGGGGGTCTGGGCCTGGAGAACTGTATGCGGGCGACTGAGCGTGTACTGTACTTGCAGCAGGTCCGACTGGCTGTCATCTTTCGTGGCTATGAGATATGTTTCGACTTCCTGTCGGCGGCTCTGGCACTGTAAGAACTCCGGCCTCCGGCTGTCTACTTTTTGTTTCATGTTCATCACCCTCTGAGGTTATTTCCCATATTACTTTTTTCTTCTCTCCCTTCCTTCTTCCACCGTTTCATCCTGCATATAGTCTGCTGGCTTTTACCTTCTCATCCTCCAAACAAACTGACCCTTTCCACTTCTCGTTTTGATTGATCTGCAGCCCGACCCTCCCCCCTCCCCCCTCCAATCTTCTCTTGGTGGTATTGCCGATGCGCTAATATTAGGGGCAGGGATTCTTGCCTCCTGTATAGCAATTCGCACGATTTTGCTCGCGGTCCATCCCACGATCCCCCGTCTGCTTATACGCCTGCGCCAGAAATATCTATTTCAGTCCGCACGACCCCATGCATATCAGCGCCGACTCTTGTTGTGAGAGAGGCGATCAGTCGGCCGGAATGCCTGCGCTGCGATCTGCTGCCTGGATTATCAGGCATTCATGTATCCCGAGAGGGTATCCGCCTTGGCACTCAGCTCCTCTACCGCCGACTCGGTGGGCGTCGGCGATGATGTATTATACATGACGGTCGGTCGAATGCCACATGTTGCGAATCAATGGAGTGGCTTGCAGGTCATAATAGCTGAGCTGTGCTGCTTTATGCCATGATAATGCGCGTGTTCAGGTGGACTGCCGGCCGACCGGGTTTCTCGCAGCGCGCAACGGCTCTCCCGCAAGTATATAAATAACCACCGCAACGATCCATATTCTGCTACACAGCCACAGATTTGGCGATTCGTTGATTTCCAGAAGCACATGCTAGCTCGGCCTTGGAGGTCAGACTAGCCTTGTTTACTGCAAACTCTGTATTTACTTCAGACTGACTGTCTGGTGTGCCAGCGATGATGCAGTCATGTGCTATAGAGTAGAGTTTGTTGTGGAATATGTGAGCAAGCATGGCACAGCACTTCAACAAACCAGCCCGGCTAGCTCAATCGGCAGAGCGTGAGACTCTTAATCTCAAGGTTGCGGGTTCAACCCCCGCGTTGGGCTTTCATTTTTGTTTGTGGAGGGGAATGCTCGGTAAGAGTGGGGCGCATGCATGCCTGCATGCTCGCATGTTTGGTCTAGATGCGACTGGGTGGGTCTCCCGATGCACTGGCCGGGATCTTTTATTTTGCGTTTCTCGGAAGTTGAGCGATGGATCGATTACACATGTTGAATGCTGTTAAGCGCTGTGCAGTGGGACAGGTCATTAAAAGTCTTATACTACTGTGAACAGGTAAATAGATGGTGAGAACAAGGGAGATTAACAACAAGGATAACGTACCCAATTTGCCGACATATTGTGATGCAGCCGCGCTAGCTAGTACATGAATCACTCACTCGCATTGTTTTTTAGTACGTATCTATGTACTATCGCGTGTTCTTCCAAATCCAGCTATCGAGAATATTATTTACATACATCTTGATATAACACTTGATTGTGATACTATTAATCCCAGAACCCTACACCTAGCCCTCAAAGACGCCGCTCTAAGCAAACAAACCCGGCCGAACCGCCGACGGATCCTCAAACAACCCATCCCACTCCGGATGATCCTCCTCCAGATGCAGCAGCAGCCCCCACCAATTCGCCCGCCACGACAGACACAACATACAGATCGGAAGCTCTATGGCATGGTCGACCTCCAGATGCTGGACCAGTGGGACCAGATTCCCGAAATCCCCGGCGCAGAGCGGGCAGAACCGTGGCTGGCGTTGTCGGATGACCGGCGGCTGCGCCTGCGGTCGCGGCGGCGGTCTGTACCGCTGCTGCTGCGATTGCAGGAGCAGTTCTAGCTGGACTGGGTTTGTGGGCGGGGTCGGTGAGGTATATGCATATGGCGCCGGTGGAACACACGGAGCTGCTGGAACAAACGGAGCCGCTGGGACGGACGAGGCCGGTGGTACATACGAAGCCGCTGGAACATACGAAGTCGTGGGAACACACGAAGCAGGCAAAGTAGACACCGTGGAAGACCGTCGGCGCTGGAGCTGCCCAGGTCCAAGGTTAGCTTCGGCGGTGATAGCGATACCGCCCCTACCAGCATTAGCGTGAGTACTACCGCTACTCGGGTTCCTGTTACTGTTACTGACATTACAAGAGCAGCCCCCCGCGTTTTCCTGGGGCATATGCTGCCACCAGTAATGCTTCCTGAGACTATGCCACTTCCCAAGACGCCATCCGCACGGCTTCGTGGCGGCTGTTGTTGTCCTGGTCCTCGTGGGGACAGGGAAGGTGCAGATGAAGTGGCCTTCTTTAGTGCGTTTGAAGTGGGAGTTGTATGCGGCCTGGGGGTTGGGCTGGTCTTTGGGGGTCGTGGGTGTCGTCGGAGTGGTGCTCACCTCTCGTTCCGGCTCTAAGGAGATGGGCGGGGGCAGGAGATGCATTGGTGGCTCGGTGCTCTCCGCCTCGACGGCTAGAAGGAGATCGGTGAGAGTCATGGGAGGGGTAGGGGTAGGGGTAGGGGTAGGGGCAGGGGCAGGGGCAGGGACAGGGACAGGGAGAGGGACAGGGGGAGGGGTAGCTATCGCAGTCGCAGTCACAGTCGCAGTCACAGTGGCAGTGGCAGTTGCAGTCGCGGTCGCGGTCGCGTTAGCAGTGCTGGCACCGCCACTACTACTACTTACGGCACAACCCTCACACGAATGCCCGGCATCGGCCGCCCGTTCATGCGCCTGATGATGATGGGCGCGGTAGTTCGGCCATGCGCTGAAGTGCAGATTGCAAGACCGCGAGGTCCCATCCCGTGCGGTGGAGATGGAGGTGCACACGTAGAGTCCTGCGGGGGTGCGGTCGTAGTGGTAGGGGGTGGTGATGAAGAATCGGGGGGCTCCAGGCCCTGTGGGAGCCGAGGGGATGGGGGCTTGGCCCCCCTCGATCCCGCAGGTTGGGCACCTGTGGAGCGCTACTGGCGCGGAGGACGTACCTCCTACCAAGGAGGGTTGATGGCTCCGCTGCAGCAGCAGCGCGTAGAGACAGGGCCGGTGGTACATGGCCCTACATGTCCCACAGAAGTATAGCTCGTGGCTTAGTAGGGCTTGGTCGCTCAGGATGCAGACCGCACACCCGGGAGGTGCCGGGCTGGGGATGGGTCGAAAGGAGACCACTTGCTGCTGATATGAGGGCCCCGACTGCGGGAAACCCGCTGTGTCGCGGTTATGTGGTACAGTGATCGGCATTGCTCAGTCCTCGGCCTTGGATTGTCTCTTGGAGAATCTGCTCTTGAGACAAGTGAGATAGCAGAGAGTGGGCAGGACAAAGAAGACGGTATGATCTTCGATCACTCTTTATATAGGGTAGCTCTTGAAGAAGAATCTTGGTTAGACAAAGGCATTATAGGTTGCGTCTAGGGGAGATTTTCAGTAACGTCCACGTGTAGACCCACTGGTAATGATGTTTGTGCTGTATAATTCGGATTGTTCTTTGTACTTGATGTTTGAGTCACAGATTCCGAGGTAAGTGGTGTACTTGTTTGTTGAGGCAAAGGTAGTGTCCTCCGCTTGGCGCAAACGTAAAGGCGAATATCGAGGTTAAACTGCATGAAGGAGATCAGGATCTTGACTTCCAAAAAATGATCGGCGCTAAGACCTCGAGACCAGTTGAATGAATCCAGGGTCGTAAGCTGTCATCGGAGCAGCTGCATAGGATGTTGGGCTCGGTGTTTATCATGGTTCATCGACGCTGCCGCTCGTATGATTTATTGTAGGGCTGCGGAGGTCACCTGTCAAAGAGATATCTTATCCGTCAAAATCAGTCCCACGACATTGGTGAACGACAGAAACCAGGCGGACAAAAACAAGTGATACCAAGGACACGCATATTCAACAGAAGTCTAGGCAAATATTCCAAAGAAAAGAGAAAAGATTCAGAAACATACAACACATGAAGTGTGATCAATGGTGGCTACTAAACACTTATGGCCAACTTGCTTCACCAATTGACCTCTCCCAACTTTCTTAGTGTTATCTCACTCAAAGACGCAAGGTTTTGCAGATGCCATATGAGCGTCTCAATCAATGTTGAAAGTCAAGGATTGCACTTGGCGAGAAACCCCTCACCCTGGTAGTTGGCGAGGACGTCGACATGAATCATGACGCCACAGAACGTGAGCTGTTTGTCCTTCGTCTGGACATACACAACTCGGATCGGGGTTTTCCCCTGATCACTGGTCTTTTCGTCCTTTTTCCACTGCTTGACCTTCGCTCCTTCCCAAAAGATTGGATACTCATACATATCTGCCTCGAGCTTGTTGCATCCTTTCACACCCCATTGGATCTTGTCGATATTCTTGAAGTCGTGAGGATCGCCCCTCTTGCCCGTGGTAAAGCCAGCAGCCTTGGCCTGAGCCTTGGCATCATCGACATTGACGTGGAATTCTTTGACGTCGGACTTGTTTGTCTTTGGCATGCAGATAAGCCATCTCTGCCGACGAAAATTTTTATTAGCCAAGGTAAACAGGGATCAAGAAACAAATACAAAAAAAGGGTTAACAAACGCCCTGTGTCACCTTGGCGACTATACCTTCGATATTGTCTATGTCTTCCACAGGCAGCGAGGTAAATTTTGTACCATTTAAAGACAGTAAGGAAACTTCTGTGTAATTCAAAGGTAGCGCGACAGCTCCCAGAATCAGAAGAAGAAGAGGCAGAACTAGCCGGGAAAGCTGCATTTTTGGTTGTAGTGTGGAAAATAAGAGATTGGAAATGAGTGTTTCTAGATGTTCGGGTCACGGATAATAAGACTTGTTTATGTAGAGGTTAAAAACTAGGTCGACCAACAAAAAGAGCAAATGTGTTGTTCGATCTAGAGACAATTGCTCTGTTGTGCATCGAGAAGAAAAGAAAAGGCCCTGGAGATGGCCAGGTGAGTCGAGGTATATATAGCGGATTATACACGACAGGAAGAGGGTTTAGCAGTTGTTCATTCATTTCAAGCTGGTATACTGAGGTCTGACAAGTCCTACTACCCCTGCATACAGGCTTGAAATGAACGAGTTGACTGTGGTGTCGGGATGATCTTCACCAGGAGATGACCAGGTGAATGAAGCCGCATCTAGTGATATGGTACACAACGGGGGGCCGGTTTTATAGTGTTTCATTCATTTTCCGAGCCGGCATACTTAGTACTTAGGTAGGACAAGTCCCACTACCCCTGCATAGAGGCTTGGAGTGAATGAGACTAAGTGCCGTATCGGGCCGATCTCCAACTGTTGGTCTTTCTCTCTGATTTTCTTCTCGTTTCATCCCTCGCAATTTCTTCTCTTTCCCATACGCCACTCTCATTTTCGTACGCAAACTTCAAGAACATCATGGACTCTAAATACACCGTCAAAGGGCACGCCTGCCTCCCGCTCAACCTCTACCAAGAATGGGACGATGAAGAGGATCTCGCCTACAAAAACATCCTCGTCAGCCTGGTCGAAGGAGACCTTGACCCCTCTGAAGCCGCCCGTCGGATCGATGCGGTCTTGCTCCAGCGCTACGCGGCAAGACACGACCTTCTGCGCAGCAGGCCCAACCCTTACCAGCTCACCCCGGAGGAAGTTGCCAGAGGTTTGACAAGTATCCACCAGGTCGCCTCCTCAGCTTGGTGCCAAGTCAAGATGATCTTTCAGTGGATTGCGGTGCTGTGTAGCGCATGCCCGCCCGGCCACCCGGCTCAGGACCGCATTATCCTGTTCCTGGAGGCACTGCGCGCAATGCCCTTACACCACGTCACGTTTTTGGGGCCGAAATCCAACGAGGGGAAAGACGTGGAGCCATTTGAGGAGATGCCGCTGTGGCCGCTGGGCAAGAACTGGTGTGGATCGGCGGACGCCTTTCGTCGAGAGGTTCCTTGTACGTGTGCTACTTTTTGGTTTGACCTTATTTTACCCCTTAGCTTAGTGTTTATTGGTTGGCGGTTCAGATTGCTAATGCTTGCTCTTCGTTCCCCCCAAAATAGCTTGCGCTTACAGGTGTACACAACGCAACCTAAAGGCCAGAGCCGGTCGGATGACCTGCGATGAAGAGCATTTCCGATGGCGCAACTTCCAGTCCGCGATCGCCCGCATCACAGTCCTGGGTCTCGTGGAGTGCAGGTTCCTCTGCTCCCTGGAGAACATCATCCCTGGCGGCCGGCAATATGCCCCATCCAAAACGACAGAAATCGCGTGTGATCTCTTCGCGGGGGTGCAGTGGATCCTGCTACATGGGGAGTACGTCTACGCGGAGTGCAAGAAAAGGGACAAGGTCACCGACCCAGTCAGGCAGATGCGGAGCATGGAGCGCTGGGGTCTGTGGAAGCAGCTGTTTCTGCGAATTGTTTCCGGGGAGATTCGCAGGTTCGATATGGATATCAAACAGCAGGCGGAGCTGGCGCTTCTGCGGATGACAGCGTGTGAGGAGGGAGAGAGTGTGAGGTGCTGATTTCCGTGAGGCGCCCGTTTGCATAAGATGATTTTGCGCTACTTCTTCTGGTTCGTTTCTTCAAGTTGCTTGCTCACTTTGCGCAATCAAACTTGGTTCCATGTGTAGCAGTCTGTCCTCACTCTACCCTTACCAGAAATCAGGATCAAACAGGTCGATGCGCTCCAGATTCTCCTTGGCAGCGGCTTTCCACTCCCTCTCTCAGACATCATGCACCAGCCATACTGCTCCTACAGGGCTTTCTTGAGTCTCAAGTGTTATAATGCAGCATAAGAAACCCCTTGACCCACAAGGAGAGGCAAGGGGAGAGGCACATACCACTTCTTTCCGTTCCGCATCCGTTCCGTATCGTAGAAGTGGTGACCAGAAGAGGCACCCCGGAATCATCTCAAGAGATCCTAGCTTCTGAATATGATGTGCTGGATACGTTGGCACATGATACGCATAGAGACTATGATAGTCGTCATTGCTGTTGTCATCCATTCTCCTGCCCGGATTGAATCTGGATATGCATCTCAAGGCAATCTATCGACATAGACGAGCTTTTTGAGTTGGCTCTGACATGCCAAGATCAAGTATTGGATTTTGAGCAGAATAAGCGTGGTGGGTCCAATCAAGCAGGCTTGCTCAGCACACTATATTAAGCAAGATATGACTTGTTAAGCAATAATATGACCCAATTACCACTGACAGGAGTGAGCGGGGGCATCATTGTTTCCAACTCAGTCTGTGGTGTTTGATGGGGTGCGGCAGTCTGTGCGGAGGGCGGCAGAATAGCCTTAAGTAAGGGGGGCGGTAAGATTTCGAACGGTACAATACCCACAGTCTACACGTGGAGGAAGAAAAAGTATAAAATAAGTATAAAGTCTTTTCCATGTGCATTATTACCAGCCCTAGAGAGTAGAAGTGAATCTGGATATAGGGAAGTGCTGTGGCATAAATTCAATAGCCTTGGATGAAATTTGAACCGAGTGGATTGACTTTATACTTCCCTGAGCGGTGAGTGGTGCTCAGAAAACAATGCCATGGTAACAGACAAAAGCCTTGTTTGTGGTGGGGCAAATGGGACAATTTAATGGGTTATTAGTCGAGGGAAATTCGACCGAGGGGCGCAGAACCAGATCGAAGGCACACACCAGAGTGAGTGCGCGAGTGGATCAGGGGAACTTGAACCGATAAGTACGTATTGTTACTCGGTAGTTAGTTAGTCTAGTGGGTGGCTACCTTAATTCTTCACAAACCCTCCTCAAAGAGGACCGAATCCACTCCGAGCTCTCTTTTCCTCTTCCTCGACGGCCGATAAGCAACTTACATATGTGTAACTTCTGACCGAAAATAGTCACGTCAACGGTCACTTGAAAATGCTGCTGTCTCGCCTTCGCCCTCTCCCCACCTTATCTTGCTCCTCGTCGACGGATGACCTGCGTGATGATGCTGCTGCTGCTGCTGCTGCCGCCGCCGAAGATGAAGCCGAAGACATCTTCGCAGCTTTTCTCCCCCATCTCTTACCCGACGATGCACCACAGTTCCACGGCGACCCGGGCCAATATCTCCTCTACTCCTCGCCACGCTATGGTGATCTGAGCATCCAAGTTCCGTCCTACCCCGACCAGAGCGGGAGTGCATTCAGTAGTCCGGAACAGACTGACTCGGACTCATCGTCGGCCAACAGCGTAGACTCAAATTCCGACGCCAGTCAAGTAGATGCGCGGCGGAGTTTGTTCGCTCATATTGTGTGGAGTGCCGGTCTGGTTGTTGCGGAGGCCGTCGAGGATGCTCATGCCGGTCACGAACATGTAGACGAGATGTGGAAGGTCGAGGGAGAGAAGGTCCTGGAACTAGGCGCTGGTAGGTCCTCTCATCCTCCATCTTGTTTGTATTTTGCCTGCGTTCAATATGCTCACAATCTGGACCTAGGCGCTGCACTCCCGTCGACAGTCTCGATCCTGGCGGGCGCGTCGGAAGTGACCATCACAGACCATCCCGCATCGCCCGCGCTGCAGGGTGCAATTGCGTTCAACCTGAAACACAACATCCCGGCCACGCACGCATGTGCGGTCTCCGTCCAGCCCCATGAGTGGGGGACCCTGGCGTCCGACCCCTGGGCGGTGGCGAACCGAGGCCGGTTCACGCGCATCATCGCAGCCGATTGCCTCTGGATGGAATTGCAGCATAAGAACCTCGTCCAGACGATGAAGTGGTTCCTTGCCCCCCAGGGGAGAATTTGGCTCGTTGCGGGACTCCATACGGGCCGGCCGATTGCTGTGAAGTTTCTGAAGACAGCGGCGAAGATGGGCCTGGAGGTTGACACAATCTACGAGCGGGACCAGACCACGAGCTGGGCAGAGGGCGATGGCGAGGTCAGACGAGATTGGGTCGAGGTCAGGGAGGAGGAAGGGCCCGAGAACAGAGCGAGATGGTGCATTGTTGCTCGGTTGAAGCACGCTTGTTAGTTCATAGACAACCAAGGGGAAAAGCAGGATCATGGTCCTGACAGTCCAATAGAACAGATACTCCAGAGTTACTGCACCAATCTTTAAAACTTGGTCCACAACCGCGAGACACCGAAACAGTCATCTTTTCCGGTAAGGCGGAAAGTAGTTGATTTATCGATATGCTCGGGTCTTCCCTGAGCTCCGGCGTCCCGTTGGGCGTTTGTATCTCAGCTTGAGGCCACACGGTATGAACGCTATACTGGTTTTTTCTAATGTACTCTTCAGGATTGTTTTTGTGGATTCACCTCGTTTGTAGTTGCGACCGGTCCGGCCCAAATATATCACAAAGCTAAATCGGAAGTATCAAGGGTAAATTTGTCTCTATCCATTGGAAGCTAGTGGCTTGTGTGTCAGCACACATGGTAGACACAAGATACAAGGTCGGAGTCTACTGATCCTTTTGTCTATAGCTGAGGCGTCTACCGCGCAAAGGCCACAGCGACATGCGTTGATGATATGTCCTAGTTTTAGAGCGAGTGCACCAAGACCCAGTCAGATGATGAAGCGAAACAGTCAATTGGAGGTTCGAGATCAGATTCCTCCCCAGGTATTACACCGGCACCTATCTTCTGGCAGATCAGAAACAACTGGCGATCACATAACCCTGATCAGACAATAGAATAAGGAGCAACCGCAAAGCTCCAGCTTTAAAGCATCAGTTATTACTCACAACCAAGCTCAGCGCAATAGTCAACCTGTTGACATAATTCCTAGCATGCCCTAACCATCTCCCTGACCCTCCTCTAAGCCCTCATATGATCCGTAATCTCCACCTCAAAATCATATGCATACCACCGATCGCCCTCCCACTTCATCAGCTTCCCGAACCGGTTGTACTCGTGGTGACTGCGCTCCGGCTGCGTCTGCTCGCTGGAGAACTTGCCGTTGAACCGGTAGTCCCGGCCGTGGTTGTTGAGCAGGGTCGAGCGATGGCCGACCTGGACGACGGCGGCGTCCGGATGCGCGCACAGCTCGTTGTACAAGCGATTCGTCGCGTTCTCGTACCCGATGAGGTCGACCTCCGTCCAGTCCTTGGCGTGCTTGCCCTCCCAGTGGGCGTGGACGTTAGTTTTGTAGTGTTCAATATTGTGGGAGGTAGTCATGATTTGTTGATGTCGGGAAATGGTTCAGAGTTTTGGGTCCGTTCGATTGTGGCTAGATCTGGGGATTGTGGTGAATGGAGGTGTCTGGTTCACTTCACCGAGGGTGTGTGTGGGACTGTCAATATTGTCAAGCTGTAAGGTGCTGAGTTAGACCCGTCCGCACCGCTACATACCAGCATGGAGACTTTTATACAATCCGGCAACCCGCAGGAGCTGTCGGCTTTTGTCTTTCCATATGACATCAGGAGTCTGTGGCAAATGGCTGGTGTCAGATGACATCCCATGAAAGGCGAGGATGGAACCCCTCCCCCTCGGATCCCATGTGGAATGCGCTGAAAGAAGTGAATTGACTCCTCGGACTGGCAGCAGTTCGACCGTACGCCGGTTCGTATTCCACATTTTGCATTGGAGGTTTTTGCTGTAGAGTTCCTCACAACAGTTCCCCACCTGCTATTTCGAAACACAGTGATAAGCAGCGAAAAGGAAAAGAGAGAAGAGAGAAGAAGAAAAGATAAAACGACAGCAGCCAATTGCAACCTGCCCAACCTGCACTTCGTGATTTCTACTTCAGGCGGGGAAAGGTGGGCAGTCAAAGCGGCAGCTGCCGTCATTATTTGTGCGTGAGCCAATGGCTCTTCGGCGATCGGAATCGGAGCCATGGGCGGGCAGGAGGTTCCTCCTGGTTTACTACATGACATTTGATGCAACGGACGCCGCTGACCGTGAAGGTCGTGTAGTGGAACTTTAAATCAAGGAGTCTCGATTGCTCTTCACAATCCGAGTCGCGTCCGCGGTACGATTCCGATGACAGACCGCCCCCGCCCCCCCCCTATACAATTGAACATGAGGTATAGAAGATGACAGGCCGAGAATAAGAAGACAATACAGTAGACGTACCATACCAATGCTCGGGATTAACATAGGCGATAAAGGGATAACTTGAGCGGTAGGTATACTACACAAAATAGGGCTAGAAAATCAGCCGACAGGAATGTGAGGGAAAGGCTTCGGAAATCACCATCAAAGTCCGAAGAGATCATCGTGCTCCAGAGACAGCGGTGACAAGAATCATAAGAGGTAAGAACAGATAGTGTAACTATTTTCTTTATGTTGGAGTCTGCACTGCAGATTAAGAGCCACATTTTGCCACTGAAAACATCGCAGGATGATTATATAGGTAAGTAGAAGCCGCAGTCTGGCGTAAAGATTATTCGGTAATAAGTATCAAATTGGAAACCACAATCCAAACCCTTGTGAGTGTATTCTTATATTCCCAGAGACGTTCATCAGGGTGGGCCTACCCGATCAGAGCAATGCTTCTTTGGCGCTTTGCACCCCCGACATCATCTGAATCTCGGGGCATTGGCGATGTGATTTCTTGATTTCGCAGTGAATTGGCGGCTGTGTGTGTAGCCCGGGTAAAGGCTGGTCGGCACATCAAGTACAACCGGATTTTGTAGAAGCATGAGCATCTTTAAGAACTAGCTGGCTCTCATGGGTGAGATAATATAACCTTTATGTATCTAGAGCCACGGTCACTGGCTCCATTTCGGCTTTTTCTTTTCTCCCCGGAAACACCATACAAGTTTAGAAAGTTGGGCGGCCCCTAAACGATAAACTTCTGTAACAAGAACTGACACCAGATGATTATGCAGAAAACAACACTAATACGTCTGAGTGGGGCAGGCGGTGCGCCTCCGACAATAGCCTAGGGCGCTCTGACTTGCGAGCTGGGACAATAGCATCCTTCGACGCAAGCGGTGTAGATAGCGCCATAAGCAGACTCTCCGTTACAAAAGCGCCTGTAATGCGTGTCAAGCATGTCCACTACCCTTGCTTTTCATTCCGTGCCTCCCAGGACATGCCAGTAACAATCATACTGAGAAGTCCATATCGTCGGCCGTTCTTGTTAGTGGGCCTCTTTCTTTGTCTACAACTCACAGACTGGCGTACTAACTGTGGGGTAGTTGCCCTTACACCGTATCAACCTTCCGGCTCATCTTCGAGAAGTCGGCCTGCAGTGTGTGAAATACGTGTCTCTACAGCTCAATATGCTGGCTGTCCTGCTACATGCAGCAGAGTCTCTCGGGATGTGATTACTGACGGCTGCCCCCACTACGCCTCGAGAGTTGACAACGGCGTGCAAATCTCTAAGAAAAAGCATCTCGGCCAAAGAATTAGTCGAATCCGCTGCCCTTTGCAAAGAGATGGGGGGTATGCCGGAATAGACCCTAAATAAGTCCACACCGGCAGAGGCGTAAGTTATTGTGAAGTCAAGAGACCTCTGGTGCCTATTCTAGAAGGCGAGCACATGTTTGGTATCTAGGGAGATCGCTGTTCAAAGAAATCATAAAACTGAGCCGCAGCCACTTCCTGGTGCCGACACCGTTGAATAATAGTACCGCATGCGATGCTGCTGACATCCGGAAATCGTAAACTTCCATATTTCGCCTCACCATCGTCGGTACCTCCTCATAGGGATACTGGTTGGTCATAATAGAGTAGATCGATGACCCTAGCCCAAATATGTCATCTTGGTAATGGGGAGGGTCGTCCCATTTGTGCTTGGGATGGCGATAGCGCGTGTTCGCATATGCGGATGAGAGTGACCGCGCAACGAAGAGCCAGCAAAATCCGAGATCTTCAAGTCCAAACGATCTAGTCAGATGTTCCGTGGGGAAATATCGCAGTGGATAACATGAGCATTATGAAGAATGCGGAGACCAGCAGCGGCTTGCCCCGCCAATTTGTGGCGCAGGCTGGGTGTCAGGGCTTCGGAATTACTCCTGACATATTCCCGAAGGTTTCCATGCTCCAGATATTCCAATGTCAGGCAACAGGTCAACGGATCCCAGTTGATCAATCCTGGAATCGAAGCATGTTCGCCGAGTGCCTGTTAAATCTCGGCTTCCAGGCGCATATTGTTTCGGTGGTCTTCTTCCTCATACGGAATGAAAGGATTGGGTGTGGGAATTATTGACTGTATTAGAGGGTAACTTAGGCAAAAGAGAGAATAACAAACGGGTGAACACCAACATACAACCGGAGCGATTCGCCGGTGGTCACCCACCCAACTAGTCAGGTACGTATATACTGTATAAATTCCTAGAGCTGGCCCACAAGGCTAGCTGTCGGGGCGTTGCTAGCAGTGCTTCTAAGCTTATGTTTACGTGCGTCACTTACAATTGATCCCGTAACTGGAAACTATACCGAATTCCTAAGACTTTCATAATTGATCCTGGGTGCCTTGTCCTTTTGTTTCTTCTCCCCTATCTTGTAACAAAAGACGGCGGGGCTTTGAATGTGCACATTCTGTGCATGATATTTGCCGTGACCATGGACAAAGTACAAAAAGCAAAAAAGAAAGAAAAAATTGGTGGTCTAGTCTGTGGTAAATCACTTCAGCAAATGAAGTACCACGGACTGTGATCAACCGATCCACATGGGACTCGAACCCACAACCTTCGGATTAGGAGTCCGACACTCTACCATTGAGCCAATGGACCACAGTTAGACAAATATGCACCTCAGGAAGTCCCGTGATCATGGCTGACTTTTTTCAGTGAATTGTTGGCGAAGCATTCACTTCTGCAAGTTGTTGTTGGCGAAACACTATCCTCCCCAGCCAGCTAACTTACAACTCAGTGAATTTATTTGCAAATCACACAGAAAAAAAGAGAAAAAAACCCTTATGAGACGATATATCCTGCTCAGAAAGCACAATCTACCAAGATGCTGTCATACCCCTACCAAGTGATCCAAGCCATGGTTTCTATGTTTCGGCCTTTAATGAGTGAATTTCTTGGTGAGTTAGCTAGCTCGAGTTGTTTCTTGGTTCTATCTCCGTTAGGGGTA